AGAAAGAAAATGTTTTGAAAATGATGATGGCAACATATGTACAAATGTGCTTGACACAATGGATGGATGTATGGATTGTGATAAGAGCAGTACAATCCCCAAATAAAATGATTTAAAAAGAAAAAAGGAAAGCGTAAACTCTTGTGCGTGGGAGCTGTGTCTTCCCAGCCCCTTCCAGGTGACCTGATGGCTGACAGGTGGAGGCTGACGTCTAGGCAGTGCTGGTGGTGCAGTACCGGAATGTGGCCAGACGAGGGCGCCAGAGACAACAGGAGCCGCAGCCCAAGCGGAGACAGGACTTGGGAGCAGGAGTGGGTGGCAAGGCTTTGTGGCCTCTGGGCTGCAGAAAGCCTTGGGAGGGCTGGTGCCCCTCTCTGGGGCGGCTTCCCTGTCAGACCAGCCAGCCTGGCTTTGAGTTCTGACAGCCCCGTTTCCTAGCGAGAGCTTCTTCATTCCCGATTCAGGGAAGAGCCACCACCACTTGGATGGAACCTGAAGGGATTTTCTTGGGGGAGAAAGTGGGTACTGAGGTCCCCCATTCTGGAAGTCTCTTGTTCAGGACATGGGTGGGTGACAGGGCCTGGGTACCAAGTACAAGTGGGTGTCCTTCCTGTGGTCAGGCGGGCCCTGGGGCTGCTCACAGATGCAGATCTCGATACAGAAGCGGGGAGCTGAGCCCCAAAGACGCAGAGACCACAGTGGGGGCAGCGTCCTCCCTGCCTTACCAGGTGAGGGGCGGGCCTGGCCTGAGCGGGCAACTCCTCTCTCCCTGGGAAGATCAGGAGTGGAGTGGGTCATCACGGCCCAAGACTCCGGAGTCCCCAGAGCAGAGAAAGAGGAGACTACAGCAGGGCTGAGGGTGGGGTCAGGGGTCTAACAATGCCCACTCACTGTCTGGCCAGGGAAGCCCACTGCGCCTCTCTGGGACTCAGTTTCCCCCACAAGCTCAAACAAGACTGCCAGGGTCAATGTGATGGTGAACAGTACACAGGTAGTGGCAGGCACGTCTCCGAGGGCTGGGTCCTGGCCCCGGCTCTGGCTCCACCAGACCAGCTCTGAGGCCTAGGGGATGGGTGGGGTCAGAGGGAAGGCTAGGGACCCTGAAAGGGGACCAGGACTCTGTGGTCACTGTTGGGGCCCCAAGCTGGCCCACCCTGGTCAACTCCACTGCATAGTCTCTGTTCGTTCCCCCAATACAAATGGGGGAGAGTCCTCAGGTCACACAGAAAAGTCAGGGAGACTGCCAGGCAGCCCCCCGACCCCCAGCTGGGGCTGAGGCCCCCTCCAGATCCCCATGGGCCTCCACAAGCCCTCAGTCCCTGTGAGTGGACATGATGCCCCAACACCGGGCACACACGTCAGACACCTGAGCACAGCCACAGGGACACTGAGCAGACACACCCACCAGGCCCATGCCCAGTCACACGAGGACTCACAAGGCACACACATGTTCCCGACAGGACACCTAGGAAGGCCAGGCAGGGTCCCCAGGACAGTCCTGCCCTCTTGGTACAAGGGGTGAGGGTGAGGGGTGGGTCCAGAGCCACCTTGAAGGGAGCTGTCACTCCGGAGGCCAGGACTGACCCCCAATTGCTGCGTGAAGCCCAGCCATGAAGGCACCAGGACTTCAGGACTCGAGGGGTCTTTGCCCTGTGACTGCTGGGGGCCATCGGGTCTCTCCGGCTCCGGCCGCCCTGCAGCATCGAGGAGACAACCGCCTCGCAGCGTTTCCTAGATGGCGCGGTGCTCTTTATCGGAGCAGACGGGCAGGTTTTTCCACTCGGGCAGCAGCTGGGGGTTCAACCCCTCGACCTTTCCGTTACAACTGACCGCTCTCATGTGAGCTCGGTCCCAGCAGACATCCCTCCCTCTGCTCTAAACCAAACCAGCCCGCCATGAGCCAGCGGAGTCCGGTGTGTCCTGCAGGACAGAGTGAAGGCAGAATGGGCCCCTCCTCCTCCCAAGGCATGGCTGGTGGGTTTGAACTGGTGACCTTGTGGCGAGGAATCCAACACACTCCCCCCACCGCACTTCCAGCAGTGCAGGGAGGGACATGTCCCTCCCGGGATGCCTTAGGCTCCAGCTTGGCTGGGAGATCAGACGTGATAAGGCAGGGGCAGCTGGCCAAAGGCCTGGCCTCTTGTTCACCCTTTGGCCCCAGGCGGGGCTCCCCTCTGTCAGCGGGTCCCCCGGCACCAGGGAGCTAACAGAGCTTGCCGCTGCTTCTGAACAGCCTGGCTGTTTGTCCGGAGGGTCCTCCAATGGACTCAGAGGAAGAAGAACCCCTTGACATCATGAGGGGCACCCCGGAGCCGAGCGGGAGGACCGGGCTGGGGGCTGGTGAGAGGGCGGCAAGAGGGGCCCAGACTCACCCCACGACGTAGACCAGGACGACGAGCTGGGTCAGCCGGAAGATGACGCCCACCTTCTTGTTGCGAACCAGCACCATTCGGGGGGTGTCGTACTCGAAGAAGAAGGCAGCCAGCTCGTCCTGGACCCGCCTGGCCATGGCGACGATGGGGCAGGGGTCGGGGGGGCGCTGAGCACTGGGTCCCCCGCACAGCCGGAGGTGAGTGGGCCGTCAACACTCACAGCCCCGCCTGAGCATCAGTGGGGGCAGGGGGGGGGGCGTGCGGCCTCCAGGATCCTTAGGTGGGGCTGGGTAGGGGAGGTGGGGTCAGAGGTCAGGAGTCAGAGATCAGGCTGGAGGTACTTGGGTTGGGAGGGAGAATCCTTGGGTGGTCAGAGCCGCTCTTGGCCAGGGCCAGGCAGTGGACTGCAGGCCAGCCACTCCCATGGACAAATAAGTTCCCAAAGATAGATGGGGGCGGGGCTGGTGGGGCCACCCAGGCCCAGCCCCTGGACCCCTTCTGGCTCCGCCTGGGTCCTGCTGGGTTCCGGAAACAGTAGTTGTTGGCAGGAAACCACAGGCCACCTGTCAAAGGGTCATAGATAAAGCGGTCACTCCCCCAACCCCAAGCGATCCACCAGGACTGGGGGGCCACCGGGGAGGCCTCAGACCAGAGCGCACCCAAAGCCAGGGACCCATCCTCAGCCACCTGCAGACATCCTCCCGGCCTCCATTCCTGGGGGCCTGTAGCGAGTGGGGCAGAAGAGGAAGAAAGGTGAGTCCAGCCTGGCCGCTTCTCATGCCCTGTCCCCGCAGCCGTCGTCTGTGTGGGGCCGCACGCTCCTCTCCTACAACCTGTTTGCTCCACCTCTGAGCAGAGTGGAGAGGGAGGCTGGGCCAGAGGACACAGGGTGCCCCTGCCCCTGACACCTTGAGAGGACACCCATGTCAGCGGTCAGCACCGCCGTGGCTGCTCAGCCTTTGGCCCCCAGCCTGCTGCGCCCGTGGACTGCTTCCTCATGGGTGGCAACAGGGGCCTGAGAAGGGGCGAGATCCAGAGGCCAGGACTGCAGCCCCTCCCCTCATGGGCCCCAGCCCAGCCCCTGAAGGTGGAGGGTCCCAAAGATGCTGGGGGCGGGGGGGGGAGGGGGGGGCCTCAGGTCTGGAGGGCTCTCTCCCCACTCCCACTCCTCCTTTTGCGCCTAAGAAACTGAGGTGCCCATTGGAGCAATGCACTGTCCAGCTCGCCCAGGGGGCTACTTGGGTCCAAGCCCGAAGCAGTAGCCCTTGCTGATCTCCCAGAGGGAGCACCCCTCAAGCTGCTGCACCCCCCATCTACCCACCCCCGCCCCCAGGGCTGATAAGAGTCTTCTTCCTGAAGCCTTTAACTGGGTGAGGAGCCAGGCCCCTTCCTGAACCCCGGCACCCTCAGGTCAGTTCCTCAAACAGATCGGCCTCACCCCGGTTCCTGGGTGATTTTCTCAGACACAGCAGTGGGATGCCACCCTCCGGAGAGGCCAGTCAGGGCCCATATGGCTTCTCTAGGGAAAACCCCAGAGATGCCAAGAGCCCACCCTGGGGCAGCCAAGGCCCTCAGCCAGATCTTACCCATCGGACAGAAGAGCCTTCCCCTTCTGGCCCATCACTTTTGGAACCAGTGCTCCGGGCAGGAGCTGCCTGGGAAGGGGAGAGGGTGGGCTCCAAGACTGGGTCTGATACATCTAGTTGGGAGCACTCAGGCCAGGGGGTAGGGAGGGGAAGAGAGGAGAGGGAGGAAGGCGAGGAGGAGATAAGAGAGAGGGAGGGAGTGAAGGCAGAGACAACCCCTCCCCACCGCCACCGCCCCATCCTCCTCCTCCCTCTCCCGAAGCCAGGCTTGCTGACTGACCAACAGACCAGCCACCTGGCGGACAGACGGACCTGCAGCACACCCTTGTATATCTGTCTGTTACAGCCTTGGCCCTGACCCGACACCCAGAAAACAGCCGGGCAGCCACAGAGCACCGACCGGTTCCCTTGGGCACATCATCCAACATGTGCCCCAATGAGGAAGAAACACAAAGCCATCGAGCTTCTTGCCCCAAACTTCTCTTGACGCTCGGGGAGGAAGCTAGCCGCTGACCCTGCCAGCGCCCCTTACGCCGGTTCTAAAATGCTTCTCTCTGGTCTCAGGCCTTTCCTACACAGGGAGAGACAGTGTTGGTCCTAAGCATTGTGGGGGCTGGGGATGATTGACCGGGGAACACACTGGAATTGGCAGGTGTTCTCATTTAATGTCCCTATGAGGTAGGAGGGACCAACGTCCCCATTGTACAGACCAGGAAACTGAGGCAGGGAGGTTAAGGGCCTTGCCCAAAGAATCGCTCCCATGTGCTCTGGGGCTGGGAAGGAGGCTCCCCAAAGTCTGAGGGCTTGGCCCTGAGCCCGGCCCCAAGTTGCCAGCGCTGAGCACTACCAGGCCTGCCTTATAAGCCCAAAGGCCGAGTGGCTGACGTGGGTACTGGGCCGGGCCTTGTAGGGAGACATGCTCAGCTGCCAAGCGCTCGGCCCCGAGACAGTCTCCTCTTGCCTGGCTAAATTTAGCAGCTCTATGGAGCTTGGAGGAGCCTGGTGGCTCCATGAGTAAAGTGCTCCACTGCTAACTGAAAGGCCAGCAGTTCAAACCCATCAGCCACTGCGCGAGAGGAGGACGAGGCTATCTGCCACAAGGCTTTCCAAAACCAGACTCGCTGCCGACTCACAGCGACCCCTATGGGTTTCCGAGCCTGTAGCTGTTGCCCATCTTTCTCTCATGGAGCTGGCTTCCACCTGCCGCGCATGAGGCTCGCAGCCCAACATTGTAGCCACTACGCCAGCAGCCCTGAACACTTATCCAGGACAGGGGAGTTTCGGACACGGTAACCCACCGTTCATGTTGTAGAAAGCCTGACCTTCCTCCTGCAGAGCAGAGGCTGCTGCCGCCTAAACTGCTGACCTTTCAGATCTCAGCTTCTGGGGCCATTCTAGTCTGTCCTACAGGGTGTCTGTGTGGCTGGGTGGGTTTGCTTTGCTTTGGTGATCAGTGCCCGTCTGGGAAGGACTGCCCAGGCCTGGAGGCCAGCCAGGCCCTTGGGGAGGGCTGTCTATGTGCCAATGGGCATCTTTGGTCACTTAAGAGCTCCAGCTTTCACGGGCTTTTTCACTGGACGCTCTGCTGGGAGAGGGCTCTGAGCCCATGCATAGTCACTGTGGGGAGGCCTGGGCTCCGACTGCTCTCTGAGGTTGGCAGTTCAGGGCCTCTTCTCTGCATCCCCTGCCCATGACCCTGCTGGAGCCCCCTCACTGCAGCCAAGCAGTCAGGCCTGCCGGGGCTCCCCTTCCAGCCTTTGCGTCTCCCAGGTCCCAGCCTTTTTTCCTCTCTGGAAGATGGGGATCCCTGGGGTTCTGGCCTCCAACACGTCACACTCCCCCCTCCCCCACCATTCTTGATGACGCTGAGACCTCCACCCACCCACATCTGCACTCACACGGTAGCCACCCACCTTCTCAGGGATCTGCCTCCACCCACCCCACCCCCATCAAACATCTAACACGCTTTTTTAAATGGACTTATCCCCCCAACAAAATGATCTTGGGGGAAAAAAAAAGATTATACAGGATCAAACTGACCACTGCAGCGAGGAAAGATAGAGACCCAGGGGGGCAGGGAGTTTATGTTACCAACGGAGCAACAATCCAGAAACTAAGTCCAGCGCAATCGGTGTCTGTAAATGGCACATGCAGACACTGTTGGTTAGTGTATGCTTTCCTGTCTATGTGTATTCTTGAAAACTTACAAAATAAATCCAATTATCCGCCCCCCCCCCCAAGGAAAGGACTTCTTTTACGTGCACCCTGTGATGACTGACTCACGCAAACATTCCCATGCCCACCACGAGGGAGCCTTAGAACGCCCCTGCCTGCCATGAGGGAGCCTTTCAACACCAGCCCTCGAGCCCCTGTGTAGCCGGTCCGTCTCCGCCAGCCGCCACCCACGGCTGACAACCACGGATCTGTGTTTAGTCACGACAGATCCCATTAGCCTTTTCTAGAACTTTCCATGGCATGTTTGGGTTAGGGGAGGTACCTCAGAAGAAAAGCCTGAAGCTTTCTTTCCAAAAACCCACAGGAATGAGAACCCAGTTTGACCCCTGGGCAGCAGGTCGAAGGCCCCATCATTGTGTGCCACCCCCCTGCCCCCGCACTGTGAGCCTTTTCCTGGCTGGCTTCTTCCACTAGCCCGGTGACTTTAGGCTTCATCCCGTGACTGCCTTTCATAGCCCTGGACGGTTCCATTGTCTGCGTGCCTCAAAGGTTGTCTGTCTGTCCATCTATCGATGGACATTTGGACTATGTCCCGGTGGGGGTTATGATGATTAAAGCTGCTTCCAAGCTCTGGGACTTTGGGTGGACATAGGCGTTCTGTTTCTATGTAACCATAAACCCCCATGTGGCCCGGGGGCCCTGGTCTCTGGAGGAGTGCGATGAGGCCGTGGCCTTTTGGCAGCTCCACCCCAGAGCCAGCGGAGACTGCGCCTGGCCTTGCCTGGGAATTCCCTTCTGAGCAGGCGGCACGGTGGTGAGGTGAAGAAACCTGTTTACCTTGGCCGCTCCGTCTTGGCCTACTGAGCTCCATGCTGCAGGCTGGACAGAGCTGGACCTGGGCGGGCCAGCGCTGGGGTGGAGGCCAAGCAGGCCTGGCCATCAAGCCCCAGAAGCTGCTGGGTAGGCTGGTCCCAGTCTCCCCTCCTGCACCAGTCCCACGAGCCCATCATAGCCCCACACCCAGCCCACCTGCCCACCATGGTGATGCTAGCTAGATGGCCTCTCAGAGGGCCTGCGCTCTCCAGGTCTTGGGCTGCCCACTGCTCCCTGTGAGCCTCCCTTTTATCCCCATCCATAAAAGGAACCAGGTGGCCTACAGAACACCCTGGAGCTGAAGAGCAGGTGGAGTTTCATGGTGCAAGAAGTCGTAGTGGGGGACCACGTGGGAAGGAAGATCCTCTACCGGCCCCTGGGTCCTGAGCTGTGCTGTTTCTGTCCCCTCCTCCACACGGGGAGTTCCTAAGGGCGGGGCCATCTCCTTGGGTAGGGGCCGGCTTCATGGGACCATGCCAGCAGCCACACCAAACCCCATGCTT